AAATTAGCACAGAAGACAGTTAAACTGGTATGAAACTGATGCACGCTTGTAAGAGAGGCCTTGTGGCACCAAAAGGAATGGGATGGGTGGTTTGACTTAACTGGGAAGTGGGGTGGTAGTCCAATGCCTGAGAGCCACCAAATCTTGGAGCTTGACCTGGGAGATTTCAAAGGGCAGAAGCAGCAGGAATCTGTCTTTATCACTCGTGTGTGTGTGTGTGTGTGTGTGTGTGCACATGCATGTCTGTGCCTTGTTCATTGAAACATTAAGTCTCTTGGAACTTTTTCTTCTAGCTTTGAGGTGTCTCTGAGAAAACAACATATGATGGGGGTAGGGATGGGGTAAGGTTAAGCCAGAAAAACAGTCCTGAAGATCAAGTCTTGGAAAGTTCCCACGAGAAATTCTTTTTTACACACTCAAGCACTCTTTCCTGTTCATGTAACACTTTGGCCCTAGACAGGAAGCAAGGGACCAAACTATTCCATGTGGGAATCAAGCCTTGATAAATGAAGATGCTTGGTTTGGCATTAGCAGAGAAACAGACCCTGAATCTTCATATTCCACCCTGGATTTTATTTCTCTCCCATGGCCAGCATCAGCCCCAGTAATTGGCAGTTCCAGGCCTGTGCTGAGGCCCAGAGACTTTTTGGAGGACCATCCTCAATCCCCTGTGCAGTCCACTAAAACTGCAGTCCGCATATTTAGTTCTACCCAGTTGTTCAGCTCTATCCATTCTGTAAGCAGACTCATCTGAATTTCACAGATCCTTTGGAGTCCTCTGTGAAATACTACATATATTAGGGAAACTAATATTTAAAATGTATTGAATTAGGACATTTGCTTGCAAAAATGTATTTGCAAAAAATGAATGTATTGGCAGCAAAGAGTACAAAAATAATTTCTGGATTTCCATGCAATTTTTTTAATATCTTAAATTTGGGACAAATGGAACTTAAGACTGAGAAAATGACATGGACAGAGTCATCCACCCCTAGGTTGTGACCCCCTAAACACACCAGCAGTGGGGATATACGGTGTAATCTAGAGGTGGTTGAAGCCCCATCAATGAAGGTGTTCTAGGAAAGACTGGACAGCCGCATGTTGGGGGTTACATGAGTGGAGCTGGCTGAAGCTGGGGGTCAGACTAGATGGCCCGGGAGACCCCTTCTGACTTGCTGTTTCTATGTTTCTAATATATTCCAGAAACAAATATAAGGTGGAAATAACAGGCATTGTCCTGAAAATCTCCTCCCTCTAATTCAGGAGTGGGAAACTTTAGGCCTTTTGCCCCTCTTCCCCCCTCCCAGAGGGCTTCATCTGCTGGGCAACTGTCCACCATTTTTTATGGGTGAAAAGCTATCTGGGGTAGAACAGAGCACAATATGATCAAATCCAGATTGCTCACAAGTTAAATTTGACATTTTAAGGGCTGGGAAGCAGCTATGGAGGCTAAAAAGACCAAATCTGACTTGTAAATAAGCTAGACCTGACCACTGGGAGACTTCATGGTGCTGTGGGTACCTTTTCCATTGAAGGTCTTAAACATGAACGAAGCAAGAGACTGCTCTGTGGGGCAGCAGAAGCTCTGGTGTTTTGAGGCTGGCTGTGATTATACAGGGGGAAAGCACTCTGCCTCTGCTTGAAGGGGTGTTCTCCTCTTGTCTAGGGCACAGTGGGATTAGGAAGACCCTTGGAGAGCTTCTTGCCCCAGAGCCCACAAACACCTAGAGCCAGCTTGGCCAAGGCCTGCTAAGCAGCTTGCCACACCCCTGGACACTTGTTCCAGGGCCATGTGCTGCTCCTGGGAAGGCACAGGGGGGAGTTGCAGCTGATAATTGCTCTGCTAAGTGCCTAGGGCTGGTGGTGTCAAATTGAATCAATGATCACTCTAGCAGAAGCAAACAAATATTATGAAAGCATTAGGTGTCTTCAAAGGATGACTCACAGTGTGCTTGCCAGAGGCACCAGGCTGGCATGTGTGTGTGGACAACCCAGAGAGAAGGATGAATCGCCATTCACTCCTTCGCTGTTCCTGCCTCCATCTTTTCAGGGTATTTCCACATGGCTGCAAATTAAAGCGGGGCTGAGCCTTTCCGCACAGCTTTTTCCAGGCATTTTCTGGCGGAGAGGGCTGGGGTGGGGGGAGTGAATGTAAGTGGGCATTTTTTAACAAATGAATTAGCAGGGAGGAGTGCTTATACCTTAGCCTCTAGATTAGGTGGTTGAGGAGTTCCTGTCTTCATTCCTAAGGGTTTTTTCTTTTTAAAGAGCCTTGTCCCAGCACTCAAGGCACTCTTGGCAGCCTCAGAGCCACGTTGCCTAGCTCAGAATCCTCCCCACAGTTGTAATGCTGAGCCAGGAAAGGTGGCAGGGAGACTGTGGAAAATCTTATGGATGGCACCAGCAGGGGTGCAGCTTTTTCCATGTTAAAAAAGGAACGAGTTGCATCAGCCACCTCATCGGAAAACAGAAAAATACGCCAACTGTCTTAGCAATAAACAGTTCTTGCCCCTTCCTAAAGCAGTAGAGGTTCCCCTACACTTTCATGGAGGATATATGTGTCAAGGAGCAGGCATGTGTATTCAGTATGGGACAGAGACAATCTGCAAAACCATGTGTTTGTTCCTCCTTGGCTTTATGCCTGTGTGCAGCTGAAAGGCAGGAGCCCAACTGTGGAGGAGATCAAACTGCCAGTTGGGTGATCTAGTTGGAATCTGGAAGGAGTGGTGTCCAAGCATGACAGCCTCTGCCCAGCTGCCTTTTCCTTTGCCCAGTGGCAAGATGCAGAGGGTGATGGAGGGCCGAGGATGAGAAACGTACCTCTGTTTCTCATAGGAATGTAAGGCACTTCCTTCCTGCCCAGTCAAGCCTTTGAGCTCGCTACCGTCCACACAGACTGGCAGCAATGACTTTCCCAGGTGTCAGGCAGCTCCCTTTCTGAGTTCTGCCTGGAGAGGCTGTTGACTGAAGCTGCGCTCTTCAGCATGCAAATCTGGGGCTCCCCTGCTCAGCTCTGACCCTCCCCCATTTGTGACACCACTTGATGTCCCTAGATGAGATTTCTGGGACCTTGATGGCTTGTGGTCAAACTGGTGCATGGACTCTAACCAGCAGCATTGCATTGGAGGCACCGTGAGATGAATGCTGTGCTTGGTTTGATTTTTTTTTTGTCATCTTCCTTTTCTTTCTTTTAAATACCCCTTTCCCTTCCTCCCCCACTTTTCTTCTTCTTTTAAAAAACAATATAGCAGAAAAGTTAGACATGCAAGTGGTGTAATATCTAATAGGGGAACTGGGCATTGATTGTCATGTGTCTTGTAAGGTCAGCAGCGTGACTGAGAAGGAAGAAGGCTTTTGATTTTTTTTGTTTGTTTGTTTAAAAGAATAATCTCCAAAACAAGAAATAACAAAACTCTTACCTGTGACAACTATTCTGCAATGGCTCAGTGACACATGGAAATATTCTCATGATAATGCAGTGATAAAGAGTTTGACATGCATGTGTGAACCAGCTCACAGATTCGACTTCCTTACCAGTGTACTTAAACTATCCATAGATACTTAAGCTGGGGGTGGGGGTGGGGGATGTTTTCTCCCTCTCTCAACAAGTTTTGTTTCCTGTGCAATATCTTTTTCCAGTATTTGGTAGCTTGGGAGAGAGAGATGTACTTGCCACTGACCTGGAAATCCCCAACATATCTTTCCACTAATGCTTAGTAAAGGGTGTGCATGATGCAATGGTGACATCAGAACATTCAACCCGGCTACAATTTCATTGGCTGCCGCAGCCAGAGGGGCAGGGTGGGCCACTCCAGGCCACAGTGCATCCGGTCATATGGTTCTTTTTGGAGATGTTGCTGGGGAAACACGTACAATGCAAGCTCAGGGCAGCTGTCGCGCATGCTGCATAAACCTCTAGTTAGACCGGTACAAGATGGAATGGGAGGAAATCTATGGAAAATCTCCTATTTTTTCCCAAAGGTAAAAGCAGCCATGTCCACCCCACACATCAAACTGGGGTATACTGGTGGGCTGCAGGAGGAGGGAGGCTTCTTTTCAAAGACAAGCATTGCAGATCATGTGAGTCCATGACTGCTGGCATGCTCCTTTTTTCAAAATTAGGGCCTTCCGCCCTTTTCTCCCTCAAGCAACATTTTGTGATCACTGTCAAATTTCTATTAAAGCTTTTAAAGAGGATGGAGATACTTCTGCACCTTTACTAAACTTTATGTGTAGATTCCTAGCCATACTGGGCCACTTCCACATATCTCTGCAGGCTCCCTCAAGAAAAGTTCATTCTTGTATGATTCTTCTTTGAGTTTCTCCTCTGCTTCAGCAACAATGCAACAATACTGAAGCAGCACCATTTTAAACAATGGTATTCTCTCTCACTGTCCTATCCACCCACCTAGCAATCTAATCTGATCTGATCTGATCTAATATGATCTAATATGATCTCTCTATTTTCAGTGTGATGATGCTGTACTTCAACAGACCAGGAGAGCACCAGGCTGGGGAAGCCTGCCCTAGGCCAAGGATGGGAAACTTCACACATGGGGACCAAATCCAGCACTTCTAGTTTCCCAATCTGGCCCTGGGGGGGGGGGTCTCCCAATAACTGCAACCCTTCCCTTTGCCCCATCCACTTTCCACCAACCACCAATCATTTTGGGGTTTCCTGGCTTTTATGAAGTTCCCCTTCCTTCTCATTCTAAAAAGCTGAAATTCCTTTTTTAAGGTTAGCGGCAGCAAGAGTTTTAAGCTATAACAGGCAGATATTTGGGGTGTTTAACTCAGGACCACTTTTGCTGTGCCCAATACAAGGATGATGTGAGCCCCACCACCGCAAATTTGGACCTTGGGCTGAAAGAAGTTCATCAGCTTGCTCTAGGTTGTGACTAAGCCAGTGCTTTCTGAATACCAGCATGGATCAAGGAATGGGTTGGCCAGAACCGTTGTAGAGACTCCAGTCCCCCAGTAATTGTCTCCCAGGAGCATACCTCACATCCGGGCTGTAGATGGCCAACCTCAGAAGGTAGAAGGCAGCGCTACCTACTCCGAGTCCAAGGAAACCAATGAGGGGGATGAGCTGCAGAGAGAGACAGGGAGGGAAGGAGATGAAAAATACTTAAATAAAATGAATATTTATCAGGAGGACTGGAGAGTGAAAGGGAGCCCTGACACAGGGAGATTTACAGGGAAAATATGGCTCAGCAATCGTGTAGCCCAGCTCTGGTACACAGTGTAGCTGTCATTTTGAGTGACTGAATTAAAAGAGGGGGAGAAAAATAGCCATGTCTTGGGAAGGAATTGGATCTAGGGAAGAGAAATCACTTGCTCCTCCCCACATCTTGTGGGATGAGGGGAAAGCAGGGCCTTTTAACATTACATATTGGAGCTGGGCTGCATTAGTGGGGAATTGGGAATGGGAACAGGAAACTCATCTTTTTCTCCCTTGGCCTGCTGAGCCCTCAGAAAAATGGTAACGTGGGACATTTTGTCAACAGTAATGTAACAGATGGAGTGGTGGTTAGGCTGGGGAGATGAGGATATGAGCACTTTTGTTTGCTAAATTAAAGCCATTATTTATTGTGATACACTTAACTATCTTTCATTTGAACCTCTCCATCCACCTCAGATTGATTGTCCTCCACCCACCTACCCGTCACTCATCCCTCTTGTTCGCCCTGCATTCTTCTCCCCCACTGTCCACCCCAGTTCTACATCCAGGGTCAGCATTAAGGACTGGGGGAGAGGGAGGGAAGCCGGTCTCCTGCCAAGGGCTCACACCGCAGCAGGGCCCGATCGAGAAGAGCCCTGTGGAGGTGCTCCACCTCGTCACCCTTGCTGCCTGCTTGCTTAGCAGCCTGTCACCAGCGGTGGAGAAGCAATAGATACTGCTGCCTATTTGGTCTCTGCCTGTAAAGTGAGGATGTGATCGCAGTTAAGAGAAAAAGGATAAGGAGTGAGAGTGGCCGGGGCAATGGCGGTGAGAAGCTAAATCCCATGGTTGAATGTGACCTATTGCCCAATCAAGACTCATTTCCAAAGGGGATCTTTTTTCCTAGGAAAAGGGGGGTGCATTTTTGCACTTTAGTGAGCACTTCAAGGATTGGGGAAAAGTGCAAAATGTGCTCAAGCATGTGGCCTAGCTGGGGTAGGATGTGGAGAGATGAAGATCTTGCCATGAAAGAGTTGTAAAATCCCAAGCATCTCCTTTTCATGTGCTCAGGTCCTCCTGCCTTTGGTTTCTCTTGGCAGCTCTTTTGACAGCTGTCAAAAACCCAAAATAAGTGGAAAAACAATTTGGAGCCTCTTCTGGATAATGTCCAGGGTTGATATTTGCTGCACCTTGGCAGCAGGCACCCACCCGGACTTTGCCCTAGCCAAGGCTTCAAATTCCCACATTTAGACAACTGCAAAGTTTCCCAGTTGCAAAAATGTGGCTAATTTTTAAGATAGTGATGGTGGTGATGGTGATGTGCTTTAGAAAAATAGAAACATAGAAACAGAGCAAGTCAGAAGGAGCCTCCCGGGCCATCTAGTCTGACCTCCGGCACCAGCCGACTCCTCTCACGAAATGCCCACCATGTGCATGGCCAGCCTATCCTTGAACACCCTCACTGATGGGGCCTCAACGACCTCCTGTGGAAGCCCATTCCAAACCCTCGGGGTCCTAACTGTCAGGAAGTGCTTCCTGGCATCTAAATGGAACCTTGGCTCCCTGAGCTTTGCTCCGTTGGAGAGCGTCCTGCCTTCCTCTGCAGGGGAGAACAGGTCTCTATCCATCTCCATGTGACATTCCCTCACATACCTGTATGTCACCAACAGATCCCCTCTGAGCCTCCTCTTCTCCAGGCTGAAGAGACCCAGTTCCCTCAGTCTTGCCTCATACCCCATCCCCTGCAAACCAGCCACCAACCTTGTGGCCCTACGCTGCACTGACTCTAACCTGGCTATATCCTTTCTGTAATGAGGGGCCCAAAACTGAGCACAATACTCCAGTTGTGGGCATACCAGTGTCATATAGAGTGGTAGTAATACCTCTCCCGATCTAGCAGCCACATTTCTGGCTATGCAACCAAGGGTGGCGTTCGCCCTCTTGACCACTGCTTCACACTGCTGACTCATGTTTAGCCTGCAGTCAACCAGCACCCCGAGGTCCCTTTCACAAGTGCTGCTCTCCAGCCACTTGTCCCCCAACCTGTACTTACGACAGCTATTCCTATGCCCCAAGGGCAAGACCTTGCACTTATCGGCATTGAACGCCATCCTGTTGTCTCCTGCCTACTTCCATAGTCTGTCCAGATCCTTTTGGATCTGGAGTACCTGCTCCTCAGTTGGGGCCAATGCTCCAGTTTTAGTGTCGTCTGCGAATTTGATCAGCAGACTGTTCACCCCTTCTTCCATGTCATTGTTGAAAAGATTAAACAGGATCAGCCCCAGGACAGAGCCCTGCGGGACCCCGCTTGTCACTGGCCACCATCCCGATGATTCCCCACTAATGGTTACCCTCGGCTTCCGGTCAGTCAACCATGCCCTAATCCACCGGACAGTGCTTTGGTGTATCCCAAAACTCCTCAGTTTCTCCACCAGGATATCATGGGGCACTTTGTCAAAGGCCTTGCTGAAATGCAGGTTAACCACATCCACTGCATCCCCTCCATCCAGCCACCTCGAAACCTTGTCATAGAATTCCACAAGGTTTGTCTGGCAGGACCTGTTTTTGCAGAAGCCATGTTGTGTGGCTGTCAGCCTCCCTTCCCTATCTAGCATCATTAGATCTCTCTCTGTTGAGCCTTTCCATTGTTTTTCCTACAATGGACATACAGCTAACAGGTCTGTAATTCCCCATGTCCCTTCTACTACCCTTTTTGAAAATTGGGACCACTGATGCCACGCTCCAGTCCTCTGGAACTTCACCCATTCTCCACGAGGCCTGAAAAATGGAGGCCAGCGGGCATGAGAGAACCCCTGCCAACTCTCTAAGTTCTCTCGGGTATAACCCGTCAGGGCCTGGTGCCTTTGTAATGTCCAATGCCCTGAGGAGCCCCGTGACTTCTGGGGGGGGGTGACTCTAATCTGTGCCCCTGAGTCCCCAGCCTCATCTAATCTCCTATGCAGATATCCCCCGTCCTGCTTAGGGGAGAACACAGAGGCAAAATAGTCATTTAGCATCTGTGCCTGTTCCCTCATATCAGCCACTGGATCTCCTTCCTCCTTATTTAGTGGTCCCACCACTTGTTTCCCCTTTCTCTTCCTATTTACATGCTGAAAGAAGCCCTTTTTGTTGCTCTTGATGTTTTCGTACTTTCTTCCAGGTGTTTTTTTTTTTCAAACAGTTCTTAAAAGAGATCTAGCTGATGCAGAAGACTGCTCCAAGGTGCTGCTCGTTTTTTGGCTTTGCAAGAGCAGCACAAGGTGTGCTTTGCTTTGCTGCTCTTGCCAAATGACTCTGTACCCGATCCGTGTACCTGTGCTGTAGTCAGTTATGCAGGTTCAGATGACATGACAACCTCTCATGGTACAACAACCTCTGCAACCACTTATGGGTTGTTGGGGTGCTTGCTGCCCACAAACAAGGCACTTGGGGGAAGTTGGTACAGGTATGTGCACATCCAGACTCTGAAGGAGGAAATTCATGGAGGTGTCCTGATTTTTTTTCACAAAGTGTTGAAAGTAGCATGACAGAAAAAGGGTCTTTGCTTGAGAAGAGTCCCTCTCCCCACTATTGCCTCTGCTAAATAGGTTTTGCAGACCTGAGGAGTCTTTCAACCCCGCCCCCCCCAAAACAAAAAAATGAGAAGAGATGGCCATGCAAGTGAAAAAATGTGAGTGTGCAACAGCAATGGTAGCTCTGACATGGGGGGCAGGCAGCCTGGCACACTACAAGTCCTATTGTCCACCAGTCAGTACCGTCAAGGGTCTAGAGTTATGGGAGCTGTGATCCAAACCATCTGCAAGGCACTCGCTTGCTTTGATGTGTCTTTCCAGTCCGGGGACGTGTTCCACACCTACCTACATGATGAGATTCCTGGCCTAAACTGCTCTGTCTGCCACGTGGTTTCAGATCCTGGGGCTCTTTACAGCAGCATCTCTCCCCTCCTGCTCCCTGCAACACACATGTGGCAGGTGTGTATGCACATGCACACACGTTGAACGCTCGTGTTTGTTTGGCTCTTGGGCCCCCGCTACCATCCCTATTTAGTGAAGCTGCCCTGAACGCCAGCAGCTTTTGTATCCAATTCCAAGGTAATTTCCTCTCCAGCCTGCTCCTCGAATCCCCAGGAGACAGGAAGTGCAAAGCCTCAATCCGTGCAGATACAGCAGCCGCTTGACCTTTCCCAAATTGCACTGGCCCCTCATGCCCAGCTAGGTGTTTAGAGCATAATGAACCTCCTTGTCCTCCTTGTCTGGTAGCTAGGAAACTAAATAGCCAAGTGTTTATAATCCTAGCTATTGCCATGAAAGCAAAGCAAAGCGTTGCCCATCCCAGAACGCAGACTGGAACTCAGGAGGGCCGCACGTGTGCGTAGGGATGGGGTAGGAGAGACGGAACAGCCACAAAACCATGGGTTTACTGACTATTATGGGGTGTCCATTGGACAGGGCTAGGAGCCCAAGCACCAAGAACACTATCTGTTGGGATCCATTGGTACAGAGATATGGAATGGACCAAAGAGATCTCAGCGGCAACTGGCACTGCCCCATTGGGAGACAAAGGATGGAAATAGGAAATATCTCTCTAAAGCAATGCAGCTGATTTAGATGTGTCCTCACTGCATTTAATCTACATGTCCCTTTTCTTTTCTATTCCTGAACTTTGGCAAATGCAGTTGTGCTTAACGCCATGTCACCAAGGAAGGTCTTTCTCCATCGCTAGTGAGAGCATGTCTAAATTGGCCTCACTCTCCAACCTGGAAGCAGGCTTTTTCCTTAGCTGCAGAATTTGCTGCAAAACGAGTTCATGTTCCAAGGCTTTAAAATATATTTTACCATGATGAATGTACACCTGAGCTGGAGGCAGGGCTGGAGCTCTCTTTCATACAGCCCTGGCCTGTCCATGCCTGCACATGCACAGTCTTTCTC